TCCTGACATCACCTCCCTCCTCAATGTATCTACATTAGAAAACTTCGTTGTGGGCTTTTTTCCCCCAACTCATTGAGATTTAAGTTTTTGAAAAGCCATGTTTAAGAGCCCAGGCATGACTTTGTCTAGGACCCGAGAGTCAGCCTTTAAAATATAATCATCAAGAACAAGAACCTAATACCCTAACCTCCCAGCTCTGCCCTTAGGAGAAAAGCCTAACTTCTGGAGCCAAGTATGGTTCCAAGATGTAGCTGTTTCGTCTTAAAATTAGGATGAAAGCATTTCCTTAAGATGACGACTACTTTTTGCAGCCCCATCTCCAGGCACTCTGCAACATAGGCTCACATACACTCACTAGGCCATCCACACACTCCCTAGCACATACATACCCGCTAATATTTTATGAACAAGAGCTTTGGTGTACAGCTGTTGACTTTTCCACCCAACAATGTTAGTGACATTCTTACTCACTTGGCAGCATATTTCTTGGAAACCCTGGCAGAACCTGCAAGGCCCATGTAGAACTCCTGGCCCTTCCCTTAACTATTAAAACTACTTCCACAAGTTTAGAAACTGTCTCTTTGTGCTTCTTAATTGCAGGATAAATGTAGGACTTAAGGATTTTTTTAGTGGGGATTTTGTGGTTGGTTAGTCTCAAGGGAACAACATTTTATACCTTTGTTGTAAAACAGGAAACATCTCTTTAACTTAAACTGACATTGGCACCCACAGTGACTCATGTGCGGGCAGGTTCTACCATCCAGAGAAAGTACAGCTACCTTCCACGCAGGGAAGGGAGGAGGGCAGGGTGTGTCAGGCCCAGGCAAGGTCAGACTAGGCTGTGTAGGATGGCGGAGGAGCAAAACCAGGCAGATTGGCGGGGAGCAGACCGGCTCATGAGTCCTGAGGGTTGAAACTAAGGAAATTAAACCCTTTCAACAGCAAAATGTAACATCTCAGGCAAGATCAGATTGTGCCCAACCCACCAAACACAAGGAGTCATGACCAGAAATGGGTGATGAAAAGAGGGTGGGGATAGCTGTCATAATCACTCTAGACTTTATCTTGTTGAAGATGCCAATGGTACCTATGGATCTACTTGGAGTCCGGACCTCATATGCTTTCAACAAAATTCCAAGGCCGAGCTGGCTTCATTAATTAAAACAGAGAAAGAGAGCTCACTGACTCCCCACCGCCATCTCAGGATGGGGAAAGGGTACAAACACACATACACACATAGTGATACCCATGGTATGCTTCAGCATGCCAGCCACTTCCTTGAGATGTCCATAAATTGCTCCCAGATAATTCAGGTGGTCTGGGACCATTAATAAAGAAGTCTTACCTGTGCTGTCCCTCTGTCCTCACAAAACAGGACTAAGGAAGACAAAAGAAATTTCTGTGGTCAAAGAATTTGCATTAGGAACTGAAGATCTTGTATCAGAATGTGGTCTTGGATTGTGGAGGTGGCTCAGTGCATAAAATGTTTAGTGAGAAAGGATAAGGACCTGAGTTCACATCCTCAACACTCACATCCAACTTGGGCCCTTGATTAACCATAGGCCCTTTGCTGTGTGGCTCAGACAGTAGATTCTCATTGCTTACCTAGTCAGTCAGTCTAGCCCAACCATGAACCCAGAACAACCAATGAGAGACTCTGCCTCAAAAATATGGTGGAGTACTAAAGGAGATGACACCCAAAGTTGACCTCTGGCCTCCAAAAGCCCAGACATAAAATAATTATGTAATAATAAAATAAATAAAATAACTAAAAATAAATCAGTTAAAATGTGGTCATAATAGACAGTAGAAGAGAATTTATGAACAGATATGGTAAGTGTATGATCAGCCTCCCTCTGCTCTCCTTGGCCTCTTAGCCTCAGGATCCTGTCCTGCCTGGATGCCTCAAGTGCTCACCAGTCAGGTGAGCAACTCTGTCTTTCCTGAATTATGGGAATTCTGTCTTTCCTGAATTATGGGTTGCAAAGCACTAAGCTCATTGTGGCCTGGTCCTAATGTATCTCACTCTAACTCATCTCTCACACCTGGAGATGAAGTAGGGTTCAATTCCTTATATCACTGTAACAAACTACTGTTATTCAGCCTAGAAAGGAGAAAATAGGAATATAAAATATAAAACGATGTTCTTGGGGCAGCCTTTCAAACCTGTGAACAGCAGGTTCATATGTCCTATGAAAAAGCTATGCTAATCATAGGAGGAATGGAGACCAGTGTCCCACTTTAGACTACGCACAGCACTGTCCATAAACTCAGCATTGGGCCAGAGTCCTTTACAAACACTGTATGCATGCTTTCACTGAGTCCAAACCATAGTAGGGAAAATAAACTTGAAAAGCTGCCTATCTTGGTGGGTGTCTAGGCATCTTCTCATATTATCACTAGAGGCCTGAAGACTTGATGGAGTTCATCACTCGATACACTATGTCACCACCATTGTGTGGCCCTAAGAATGACCATGAACTTATGATTTGCACATACAACTAGAAAGCAATTAAGAGAGAGATTCTAGTTTTATTTTTAATAAAAAGCCAGATACCAAAACATATATTCTGTAGTTTCATAAGTATGAAATCACAAAGAGGCTATCTACTGTGAAACAAACCCAGACATCTGTTACCTTTGAGCTGCAGGTGGAAGAGGCTGTGAAGACACACTCCTAGGTGCTAAAAATATTTACTGTCCCTATGTTAGCAAAGTTGCTAACAGATATTTACCAATATGAAAGAAAATTCATCAAGCTATATATGTAAGATGTACATATTTTAGTGCATGTAAATTACACCTGAAGTGAAAATTAAGTAGAAAAAAATGTGCATTCCAAAATGAAAAACAAAAGACCTGTAAACTAAGAATTATATCCATGATCTAAGACCATGATTGGCTCAATAAATTAATGCATTAAATATTCAAGATACATAGTAAGGTCCCCTGTGCTTGGAAGTCAAGTTCAACTATGATTCCAACATGATTTCTGAAATAGCTTGCTCAATTAATATACCCACAAGCATATGCCCATGCATCGGTCACCTTTGTTTTTTCATTGTTGGCTGTTAAACTGGCACCTGTCCTGGAGACAACAGCCTCTGCAGACTTACCTAGCAGTTATTAGAATGCTTTATTCCCACAGCTTCAGACATGTTCAGTATATTAATAAAATATATTCCTTTTCTGACTCGACAAGGCTTACCTAGTGACCCCTCCTATATGTCAGCCAAATTTCCCATGCCCTGACAATGGTTCTCTTCATCTGTGTAGTTCCAAGAAAGGGTGATGCTTAAGAGTGGACCGGAGGTAGCTAAGCTATCTCAATATTCACCAGCCTATCTCTTCTCTACCTTTCCCTCCGCCTTGACTTTAGTTGAGGTTTCATTATCTCTCACTCTTTGAAGCAGCTGTAGTTTCCATTTGTCTCGCCTCTCTCTCCTCCATTATCAGAGACCCCACCCGCCTTGGCCTTTTTAGTGGTTCTGTGGCAACCCCATGGTCAAGCCCAAACCACTCTACTCAGTAAAGGCAACCGTTTGACTGAATCTGCTGTCTCATACCCCCGTCACTTCTTGCATGCGGTCTGCTTCATCCAGTATTGCTCCATGGGTGCATGACTATGATTGACATCTCAGGTGGGACAATTCTTCATTGTGCAGAAGTATTCCGTGCATTCCAGTAGGTTTAGCATCCCTGGCTCCTGCCCACTGAGTGCCTGCGGTACCCACCTTCAGATATTGTGACAACTAAAACATGCCCCAGATGTTTCCAAGCATTCTGAGCTGCCCCCTTTCCAACTGACTACCTCCTACTGGTTCTTCATACCTCACTTCAAGTGCTGAGCTGAGCCACATGGAAATGCTTTGGTTATTGTCCAAGAACATGGTATTAGCTACTTAATATGGCTAACCTAAATAGTCTGTTCTCCAGGAAGCCTTCCCTAGTGATGTACAAGTATACTCCATGACTGTCTATATTAAAGTGCTTGCTACCAGGCACTGTAATAGCCAGGCTACTTATCATCCCTTCCTCTTACCACATGGTTTAAGCCTAATTAACTATGAGCACATTATCAACTCTTACATCATTTCATCTCTCTAGCACTTGTGTTTGGCGCATAAGGAGACTAACCCTGGTCTGGCTGAACCAATGAACAGGATGTTAGGCATACTTTCCCTGATGACTCAAGGTTACTATTCCTGGGCATGGAGATGTCTGCAGGGCATACTGAGGCCACTATTCTTTTTAGCTTGTTGTCAAAAGACCCAACTCTGGGCTACATTGTAGGTGTGTGTGTGTGTGTGTGTGTGTGTGTGTGTGTGTGTGTGTGTTATGAACTTTGCTTTACTTCATCACCATGACTAACTCCAGTGGTCCTTGGTGCTCTTTAGAAACAAAAGCAGGCCATCCGGAGGGCTATGGAAGCACACTGGTGAGCCTCCAGAATGATGCCGTTCTTTGAGGGTCCTATTGCTAGATTCTCTCTAGTTTTAACCATCTCAAGTCTCCCCTCTGGCTACTAAGGCTTTGGGGTCCTAAGACCTTCCTAAGTAGTTATTTTCCTTTGGAAGACTGCTGAAAGGTAGCTCAGGACTTAAAAGCACAGAAATATTCCCAGCCGAGATGAAGAGCGGCTGATAGAAAGATTAGCCAAGTGACTTTCCCAGGGGTTTTCTAAATGGTTGCTGTTTCTATATAGCCACTGAGTATATGATCCTACTTATTTATGTTAAAATGCTTATATTAATAAACACTGGACTGTGCATCTCAAATACAGGACCATTCTAATTTTGGGGGAATGACTGCCAATTACAGAAGTGAAACCTTGCTGTTGTAATCTATACAAAAAAGCCAGGCCATGAGGAGCAGAAGCAAAGGGGAAAACCAGGCAAAATTAAATGAAGATACATCCTTTCAGAAAAATTCATGTGTGTTGTACCCTTAAAGATCCTTAGTATACATCTCAATAAATAACATGTGATTCCATCAACAAGTAACTTTTCAGTCCTTTTATTTTCAATATATAATCATAATTACTTTCTGCTTGACAAGGCAATTACATCAATTTAAGAAACAATTAAATACACAGAAGAAAATTAAATATTTTTTACAATAGCTTATTACCTACAGGAATGACCACATAATCTTATTCCCTTAAACATAATATTATACCTTAGATTAAGCCCTCCCATAGCTTGTGGGAAATTAACATTAAATAGCTACACATAGAAAACCTAGATCTATAAATAACATAAAACACAACTTAACTCTAACACGAGCTTAAACAAGACACACTATGATGCAATATGAATCAACTTCATCCATTGGACAAGTCCAGTGAGACACAAATCAGGTCCGTACAGTGATGTGCAGGTGCAGCCTCCAACCCCAGTTGTGTGTGAGCATTTCGTCCTTGGACTGTGTCCAATTCCATGCAGAAAAGCATCAGTGTTTACATCCTCTTAACTCTCAAGCTGTAACAAAAGAGGGGAAAAAGTGTAAACTGCGAATAGAGGAATGGATGGTAGGAACGGCTTTAGTACCTGAAGTTACTTCACAGACCTTCACTCTCATCTCGATATGAAGAGCAGCTCAGAGTCCATATGAGGAACTTGAGTCTGAGAAAGGATGGCCTTGCTCAACATAACTAAGCTAGCTCACAACAGGAACAGGGTATGAACACTTGTCTAGGGTTTCTAAGTTCAGTATATATGGTGCAACAGTGTTAGCTACCATCTATCGATTAAATGCTACATTACTGATGTAAACCAGAATCACTGGTCTCTTTTTAATTAAATTTATTTTTCAGGGTTTAGCAACCAACCAAGTGTCAGGAAGTCTATAAAGGATAAAAAGAGGAAACATCTCAGCAATGAAAATCAAGTAGCTAATGACTATCAGATGCACGGAGAGATCTGATACATCATGTGAGAAAAGATATTAATTTAAAATAATAACAAACACAATGATGGAATTGACATATAAGCACAAAAATGCACTCTATGCTTGCATGGTCTAACCCAAGTTCCCCCTTCTAAAATCCAATGTCTCTAGACTGAAGACCTCCTCCGGGCCTGCCCACCCTCTGCACCCTTCTTCCCCCATCGTTCGGGTAGACTGCTTGTCCTTCAGTGATCCATACCTGAGCAGGCGCACGGCCCTTTTCACCCAGCCCTGCTTTGGATCAGCACACACGGCCAGTTTCTTTTTGGTGTGAAAGCTGAAAAATCAAACATTGAACATTGCATTTTCCTTCAGTGAGCACTGAAACGTGTTTGTGTTTCACAGACCATGCAAGGAAGCTTCACGCGCTAGTGTGCTGTTCCACACGCTAAGCATTTGGCTCCAGAGATGAAAGGAAAGAGAAAATGCTCATAATAAATCCTGATGGAAGGGATGGAAGAGACCTCTTCAGACTTGCCCTGTGATGTAACTGAGGACTCTACAGTTGCAGCAGATGCAGTCCAAGACTTGTCATCCAATGTTTGCTGCTGGTGGAGGTTTGTAATATGTATGTACATGGTGGGAAGCTTATATTACTCCAAAATATAACACCCTAAAAGAACCATGAGTATTTTAAGTGATATTATAATGAGCCCCATTTTCCATTAGAAAAATGCTGAATTCAAAGGTGTCTTCCATGTGTCACATTCAACAAGTTTATTCTAGAAAGTGACTCTGCCCTGTGCAATGTTTACTCCTTCAAAACCTAAACACTAAACTTTGGGCTTATTTCAGTCCTGCTTAAGCTTCGAAGTACATATGAAATAAAGCTATTTTGTTCCGTGTATTGTCTCTGAATAAAATGCCAATAAAATTAAAAAAATGTTTCTGAAATTCCCATGTATTCCTGACATAATGGAATCGAAGTTGATGGATAACTTACATGACAGCGTTAATGTCACAAGCTTCGTCAGCCAGCTGTTCTGTGAAACCCACAATTGCTTTGGAAGGAATGATGCTTTTTGTGTACCGAAGGCAGCAGTCGAAGCTGCTTGCTGCTAAAAGAAAAAAAAAAAAACCAAAGCCATTGAGTTCACAGGGATGAGCTGTCATGTCTTTGAAACAGAGTTGAGGGTGTTTTAGGTCTAATTTAACATAGTGCCCAGATATCGTTTTAAAAAATGGTATGGCTGTAATGTTTTGGTTCAACCAAACCAACACAGTATACAAGCCCGTGGCGTCTCTCAATCTCTAATAAGAAATTGAAATATATCATGGCAGTTTGCCATAATCACTCAAGAATATGGGTATCCGTCCCCACCACCATCCTTCAAGAATAAAAGACCTTTATAGAGAAGCATTTCATATTCAGAATATGGGGGGGGGGGGCGTCAAATTTCAATCTGTGCTCTGGCTACTGAGTAGGCAGTAGTGAAATTACACAGAAAATGTGATTTTCTAAGAACTACAAAGACAAAATTACAGAGGGAAATGTAGTCATTAGGAGTTGTGCCCAAAGCACTCCGAAGCTGTTGTATTGGCTGGTGGAATTTAAATCCCGTCCACGAAGTTCACCACGTGTTTTTCAGGCATGCACCTGCTGCAGATAGTGATATAATAAAGCAATACTTGGACACTCCTCGGAGTTAAAGTGTAACCTGCTGTAAGGCACTGGATAAATGTTATCTCAAAGTTGGAGAACAATGTCCTCAGGCCTCACGGGGACACTGAGGTCAAGTGTCACAGTCTGAACCTTAAAGGGAAATTATGAACTTTACTAACATTACTTCGTTGGGAGGTTAAAAAAAAAAGAAAAGGCTGGAAGTGAAATATTCTCCACATTTCTGAATGACCGTATATCCCGAGAATGTCACACTCAGAACATCACTCCCAGAAAAGGTATTTAGGCATTGTCCTGAAGTTGAAGTGTCTCCGGAAGCCCATTCACTCTCCAAATCTGCTGGAATTGACAGCAGAGAAGATCCCTGGTCGCTAGCATCCACTCTTTCCTCCTCCTCTTCCCCATGAGACTCCTCTTACCCAACCAGACCCTCTTACACACCTCTTAGCAAACTGCTCTCCACAGGGCATCCCAAGATAAGGCCTGGGGAAAAGAAAGCCTTTGTCCCTCCTGGACCAGCAGAAGGGGCCACACTTACCTTCTACCTGGCTGTGGAGGTGAGCCAGCAGCACCCATGCCAAAGCAAGGCAGAGCAGCCTTTTGCCACTGCAGAACATTCTCAGCTCCAGGAGTGATCTGCTCAGTGCTGGGTACCCAGTGCCCTGTGAGTGTTCTTCTGCTCCAGCACCAGCCCTACTTATAGCAAAATATTGGGAATGTACACAAGAAGGCGTGTGCTTTCTCGGGGTTTTCCCCCATTGATTAATCTGCCTCCTCCTCTCATCACAAAGAAAACCCACAGGGAAAACTTCCTTCCTTTCCCTAATGTTGGGAAGGTGTGAAGGTCAGGTGGGGGCTGGGGAGGGGAGGGAGGGGAGGGAGGGGAGGGAGGGGAGGCGGAGCACAAGGGAGGGGAGAACCGTGTTAATTCCTCTGGATGTAGGAAGAAGAAAGGCAGCTCAGACTAGTGCCCCAGAAATGGCACCCATCCAGGTTTAATTTAATATCTCTCTCTCTCTCTCTCTCTCTCTCTCTCTCTCTCTCTCTCTCTCTCTCTCTCTCTCTCTCTCTCTCTCTCAGAGAAGAACAGCCTCTGAATGGGACTATTTTCATACTCCTGTTGTTACACCAGTTTCCTGCCCACAGCCAGCGCTGGAGGGGGGAGATCAGGCATGCTGCAACACAAGTTTGTGATTACATGATGGAGATTTAGCAGTCACAGAAGATTCTGAATTTCTGGACCAACATCCTGAGCAGGTTGTAAAGCGACATGACAGAAGTTTCCCAAACAGTTACGGAAAATACCAGCCTCACCACCTCCCCTCAAGCAGCGACTTCATCTTGATTTTATACCAGCGTCTCTAAGAATTGTCTGTATTTATTTATATACCTTTAATCAGCACCATAGCCCAGAACCACCATCCCTCCACCTGCCTTTTGTTCTTTGTGACAATGGACTGAATATAGAGCCAAAGGGAGGGAAAAAAACAAACACTATCAGCAAGGGCCAATCGGAAAAGCAGTTCCCAAATGGCGATGGTGATGATAATAAAAATGTATTGGGAGCTCTTCTAAGAGCTGTCTGCCAGAAAAATCAAGTGAAAGTAAAAGAATCCAAAAAAAAAAATTAAATAAAAGATAACTGGGGTTTCCTGTCCTTATGCTAGATATGATAGATTTTAGACAAAACAGATAAACACTGTTCCAGATAAGGATGGATTCTCACACTATTAAAGGATCTAGACATTCATGAATATAGGAATATAGACACAAAAATTATGAACATACACACACACACACACACACACACACACACACACACACATCAAGCAATCACACCACTAAATACATGACACAAAAATTGACAGAACTGAAGAGAAGAAATGAAAATTCAATAATACAAATTGAAGACTACCATTCCACACTTCAGTGATCATTAAAAAAAAAGTGAGCTGAAGATCTACCCCAAAAACAGGCAACTTAAACAATACTCTAAGCCAAAAGACAACAGACATCTCTAGAACGTTCTACTCAGAAATAAGATAATCATTTCTCTTAGTTGTACATGAAAGAATCTCCAAGATAAATTACATGATAGGTTACTGAAGACATCCTAAAAAATTTCAAAAGTGTTTAAATAATAGATACTATGTTTTTGGAAAGTACAATGAAATTAAATCATCAATTAATAGAAGAAGGAAATTTGGGGATTCACAAATGTATAAAAATTGATTGACATATTTCTAAATAACCAACATGCAAAAATAATCACTAGAAGTAGAAAAATACTTTGAGATGAGTCAAAACAAAAAATACAGCTTTCTAAAACTTAGAAGAGACTGTGAGAACAGTGCTCAAAGGGGAGCCCACAGCTGCAACATCTGCATGAAAACCAAGAACAATGTCAAGTCAGTATGCTTCTGCTTCAAGACACTCACAAAGTAGAGCAAGCTGAACCCAAAGCGGTCAAAGGGGAAACGTAAGGACTACAGCAAAGTAGCAGAAAACCAATGGGACCTGACCCTTATTCTTCATCATGTTTGACATTAGCAAACTTTACTTCCAATAACCAAGAAGATGGAAAAGAAAGTCCCCTCAGGGATGAGAGCACATCACTACTGACTTGAAAGAAATTCAAGAATTGTAAGATAAAACTATGGATGACTGTATGTCATACAACATACAACATGAATGGAAGGACTACATTTGTGAAATTGAGTCAGAACTAGAATAGAATATTGAATAGATTTAAGCAAGGGATCATATTAGTGACTGGAGTTTTTCTTCACAAAGAAAATCCCAGGATCAGATTGGTTCACTAGTAAGTTCTGTCAAGCAGTCAAAGAAAAAATGTTGTCAACCTTCCACAACTTTAACAAAAAATCAAGAGAGGAAATTTCTGACTCATTCTGTGAGTACAATATTGGTGGACAATAATGAGAGGAAGACCTCATGTGAAAAGAAAACCACAAGTCAGTACTTCTTAGGAAAACAGACACACAAGGAGCCATTCTAAGTGTGTACTGCTTTGCTGAGCACCCTAGCTTTCAGTTCCCAATATGCCAGCTGGGCAAATCACCTCTTACTCCAGCTATAGGGGAATCTGATGCCCTCTTCTGGTCTCCCAGACACATACGTACACATAATTAAGAGTAATATAAATCTTTGTTAGAAAATTTTACAAAGAAACAGACATGAAAGTCCTCAACAACACACTAGCAAACTGAATCAAGTCACTTATATAATAGACTTATGTATCACACTTAAATGAGATTAATTATACCAGCCAACTAAAACATTAGGCACCTCAGAGGGCATGGAATTAAAGGATATGTACTGCAACGTTTATTTAAAAAATCCATTTGGGCCGGGCGGTGGTGGTGCACGCCTTTAATCCCAGCACTCGGGAGGCAGAGCCAGGCGGATCTCTGTGAGTTCGAGGCCAGCCTGGTCTCCAAAGCGAGTTCCAGGAAAGGCGCAAAGCTACACAGAGAAACCCTGTCTCGAAAAAAAAAAAAAATCCATTTGGAAACATATTTGATAAACTCTAATGCTTACACATGATAAAAAAAAAAAATACCCAACAATCTCGGAGTCATAGAGAAATTCCTCAATCTGATAAAGTGGATTTGTGAAAACCCCAGAGTTAATGGCACGCTTACTGTTGAAAGGCTTAATACCTGATCCTGAGGGCATGAAGAAGACAAGATGTCTGCTCTCACCATTTGGCACTGTACTGGATGTGCATGCACAACTAATTAAGCATGAAATTGGGAAGGAGGGAGCACCCAGATGAGAGAGGAAGTAGGAACTGAATAAATGTGCAGACGATAGAAGCTTGCACATGCAAAATCCTTTTTTAAATCCTCTAATATGATTAGAACTGATTAATTCATTGAGGTCCAAGAATCAACCTCACTCTACAAGAACAATTGTATGTCTACAAACTATCAGTGAATAGTCTGAAAATACAACTAAGAAAATAACCTTACAACGTCATCAAAAAGAATAAAATATGAGATGTTTGTGGTGACACAGGCCTGTCATATCAGCACTCAGAAAATACAAAAAATAAAATAGGCATAAATTTGAGAAAAGAATGGACCGGAAAGATGGCTAAGTAGATAAAGGCATTTTCCTCTGAGCCACACCATCCGCATTTGATCCCCAGAACCTACGTGATGGAAACAGAGAACCATTCCTGAAATTCATCCTCTGACCTCCACATGTACACACTTGGCATATGCACACTCACAGGCACATGCATAACAAGTATTTTTTTTTAATTTGACAGAAGTAAAAATATACTAAAACCTAAAAATATCATTAAACAATTAAGAATAGCTACATAAATGGAAACATACTCCAGCTCCACAAAATAGATTAATATTATTAAGATATCCATATTCACTACATTCATCTACAGGTTCAATACAGGTCCTATTTTAAGTCAAGTTAGCTTCTTTTTAGAAATAGAAAAAAAAAACCAGTATTTAAAATAACATGGAATTGGAAGGGATCCTTAATGGCCCACACAATCTTGAAAAGAACAAAAACAAGTGGAAGGAGTCACATTTTCTCACTCCAGCCCTTATGGAAAAGCTGTGCTGACCAAGAAGTTGGTTTGAGGACATCTGTGGCCAGCAGCAAAGAACTGAAACACTGGAGTTTAGCCCCTGTCTTTGAAGAATCGATTTTTGCTTACTGTAACAATGGCAGTTAGCGAAAGAAAGAGTCTTCTCAGTGAATAGTGCTGGATATTCACATGAAAAAAAAAATGTAGCCGGGAGGGGGGGGG